GAAGGATGGTTTTAGCGGAAGGGAGGTGAGGCATGTTCATTTGGGAAGAAGGATTGGGAGGTAGGGTAACAGCAAATAGGAAAATAAGTATCCTATAGAGAAAACTCTTTAGATTACCTCTCATAACTTGTTCCAGCATTCTAGAAATTTCCACTTACTGGCCAGCTTCTTGTTTTTCATTGTCCTGTTTGCATCTGACCCAGAGTGGAGCCTTGAGTGTGCCCAGGGATTCTGCATGCCAAACAGCAGATGCAGTAACTCTCCATTATCCGAACTCTATGCTCCTCTGTATTCTTTGGGGGCCACATGTTCGTGGCCTTTCCTCCTCCCTACTCTCTGGAATGGCTGCGTTTACTGTTTGTCATTAGCTGATAAACTGTGCAAACTCTTCTAAAGATTTTCTGTACTTCTACCTTAAGCTGTCTTACTTAAGGAAGGACAGTGTCCATCCGGCCACTTTTCTCCTACAGCTCTTAGTTGAAAAAAAAATCTTCTAGGTGGTCCTTTCTGTCCCTGTTTGATTGGATTACGAAACTTAAATCTGTCATCTCTTTAGTGACTCAAAAGCAGTCCACCAGGGTATATTATAGCTCCACTCTCAAAAGCCAAGCTGTTAAATGCCATCTGGGACATGTTGCTGCTGCCCATTGGATATATTTCACAACCATCACAAGAGCAAAATGACAATAAAGATTTGTTTCTTAAATCATGAAATCATTAATACAAAGAATAAGAGAAGAGGCACATGCCTGTCATAATGCCAGCACTCAGGAAGATAAAGGGGAACATCACAAGTCAGAGGCCAGTGTGGGCTACACATCAAGACGCTTTCTAAGGCTGGCAAGATAGCTCAGCAGGTAAAAGAGCCTGCTGCCAAGCCTGACAACCTGAGTTCAATCCCTGGAACCCACAAGATAGAAGGAGAAAAGCAACTCCACAAGATGTCCTTTGACTTCTACACATGAGCTGTGGCATGCGACACATGCCTCCTCCAACACACACAAACAAATAGATATGGGGAAAGACCCTATGTGAAAAAGAGAAGAGCTAGCAGCAAAGACCCTGTGCGGGCTGGAAATGCGAATGGCGCGTGGGAACTGACCTGTGTGAGCCTTGAAGCTGAATCCTAGGCCAGCAGTAAGGACGGGCAGTGGTGCTGTTTATACTCTAGAACTCTCAAAAGTCTGGCAAGTGGCATCATTAGCCACCTTTGGGATTGGCAGTAAGACTAGAACAGGACTATTAAAACTGCAAAAACCACACAGACTCTCCTGTCCTCTCCTCCAGCAGCCTTTCCCCTTCATCGGCAGACATCTTCTCTGGATAGAGGAAAACAGGGGTCTCTGGAGTGTGAACTGCTCGATTCCTAACACAATTCAGCACAGAGTTTGAACCAAAACCAATAGAGAATGAGTGAAATTTTGCATGTTGAACGTTGAAACCTCCATGCTGCTTCTCCAACTCAGTGTTCAGAACACCGGACTTTGACCCTCAAGCTAGAGTTTAGAAGATTTGTCTCAGCTGGGCATTGGTGGCTTGTGTCTGTGAACCCAACGCTCCTAAGGCAAGATGGAAGGCAGAGGCAGGAGGCTCTCCCTCCAGGGACCAGTCAGCCTGCAGGATGCGGGGCAGCAGAAGCAATACCGTAGGAGAGACCCCACCTCTACATGTGACTTTCCTCGGAGCCTATTGGAAGAGGTGATTCATGAGACAATGCAGTAAAAAACAAGAGAGAGGCCCCAGCTTAGTTAAGTAACAAGTCTGTAGGTATGAAGGCGTGGTCTTGCTGCATCAGTTAACTGGCAGAGGACAGAGGTGGCCAGATGATATAAGTAAACACACAAAGCAGTTAAAAGAAGTTACCATGAAAGTGGGAATTTTTTTCCTTTTTTCACTTCTTTTTGTGTAGTATTTGATTCTGCATATTACTTTTCTTTTTTTTTTTTTAAGAAATACGTTCCCTTAAGTGGAACACCCCCAGTAGAGAAGTTTAAGCCTTAGGCAGTGACAGTAGAATTCACTTTTGCATGCCCTGCAAATTTTCTGGGAAAATTTTTAACACCTAGCTAGCTTTCCCTGGTGATTTTAGGTTTTTATGTTTCGATGCAGGAAAGAGCTCATCAGGAATGGCTTTGGGGAAGCAGGGCCTGAACTGTCTCCTAGAAAATAGATGTTTAGGCCTGGAGAGATGGCTCAGAGGTTAAGAGCACTGGCTGCTCTTCCAGAGGACCTGGGTTCAATTCCCAGCACCCACATGGCAGCTCACAACTGTCTGTAACTCCAGTGGGTCTCAAGAGATCTGACACCTTCTTCCGGATCGTGGGAGCACCATGTATGCATGTACTGTACATGCAGACAAAACATCAATACACATAAATTAAACGAGAAAATAAATTAATTTTTAAAGAAGAAAAAGAAACTCCTTGCTCCCGTTTGATGTTGGCCTTGTCATAATGGCCAGTAAATGAAGGTTCATTCTGGATTCCCTGGACTGCTGCGTCTCCCATTTTTTTTCAGAGCCCTTTCCACAGAGAGCTGTCCCTGCTGCAGACCTTTGATTACCAATAATTAATCTCAGATGAAAGATTCAGTACTCCAGGCTTCCTCTGTCTCTGACCTAAGAGAACATGCTGTGAATGGTTTGTTTGTTTGCCTGCCAGAGATCTTATCTGGGCCCATAAGAGTTGATAGGATCATTAAATCAGCATTGATCTCTCCTCAGTCTCCTTTTTCAGCAAAAAGGGGTGTGTGGCATCTCAACCCTGGATAAAAGGGAGACTTAATATACGGCACAGGGGTCATTCAGTAACGGCTATATTTAATAGTAGTAAAGTCTAAATAAGTCAGCAATGTGTCCTCATCCCCATGTTTTCTCTGCAGTTTCTCAGTGTATTTGGCTAACTCACTACAGAGCAACCAAGCCAAATGGCCAAACCACCCACTTTCTTATTCCCAGCACATGAATTAGAAGGAAGCCAGCTGAAATCCAGGCCAGCTTGTAAATGACTTGTGTGTCTGATTTTTGTTCCATGATCTGAAACTCAAAATAAATCAAAAAAGAAACATTTTCCAAATAACGGCAAATTCACGCACAGTCTCCAGCCTCTTCAGTACACATGCAAAGCTGATAAACAAACTATTCTGAACAGATATGACTTAGAGTTTAATTCCTAAGGCACAAACAGATACTCACGTATAGCAAGCTTATGGAAGGAACCTTTGTGTTCAAGAATCACAAACCAAAGTCAAGACTAAAGATCATTTTAGGAAGAACTTGGAACAGAAAACCTTTGAAGAAGGGTCCTAAGAGGCAGATTTTGAACTTAGAAAACAGTGATCATTGCCAAGCCTGGTAGCACAGGTTTATAATCCCAGCTACTCAAGACGCTGAGGCAGAAGGATGGACATCTGGGTTATTTAGTGAGTTCAAAGCTAACATGTCTCCAAATTACAACAACAACAAAAAAAGACAGAGATGAAGGAAGAAAATTACTTAGTTTGGGATATAGTTCAGTGGTAGTGCTTAGTATGTGTGAGTTCCTGAGTTCTATCCCTGGTAACACACATACACACTAGTGAATGTGTCTAACAGAAACCTGTGCCTAACATACAAAGACAGATCAGGAAGGTGGTGGGCATGCAGAAGTTGCTGTTGGTTTAGATATTTAGATAAACTTACTATAAAAATATAAAGTTCTTGCCAGGCAGTGGTGGTACACACCTTTTATCCCAGCACTCGGGAGGCAGAGGCAGGCAGATCTCTGTGAGTTCAAGGCCAGCCTGGTCTACAGAGCAAGCTCCAAGGCAGGCTCCAAAGCTACACAGGGAAACCCTGTCTGGAAAAACCTAAATAAATAAAGTTCCTGACTGCAACTTGTTAAACTTAAAAATTGAAGGGATAAACAGAGGGCCAGGCAGTGGTGGTGAATACCTTTAATTACACTCAAGAGGCAGAGGAAGGTGGATCTCTGAGTTTGAGGCCAGCCAGGATTGCACAGGGAAACCCTGTCTTGAAAAACTAAAACAAAACAAATAAAAAAATAAAAAAAAAGAAGAAGAAGAAGAAGAAGAAAGCTTCAACAGAGGAAGGGTGCAAGCACTGAGCTATGAAGAGATCAAGGCATAGTAAGTTAGTTCATTTTGTCGATAGGCCTGGGTCTTCAAATACACATTTAAGTACAGATGTTGGGCACATCCCTCCTCAGTGCCTTACATCTGAAATGTATGTATGTATGTATATATGTATGTATGTACCATGAACTGAGTGGTTGTTTAGCAGGAACAGCACCTATCCATCTACCAGAAGAGCAAATGTGCTATTCAGAAGTAGAGCATGACTCCAGAGGAGCAGTGAGAAGGGCCAGGACTGAAAGTTCTAGAAAAGAGAAGTCGGGGTTGAAGAGATAACTCCGTAGTAGAAAGCTTACCTGGGTTCAGTCATTGGCACAGCGAAAAGAACAGAAAGGTCTTGGCTGGCCTGTTACCAGGTATAGAATGTTTTAGAAAGTGCAGGGATGCCTGGAGAATACATCTAAAAATTAACAAATTTCAGGAGTGTAAGGCTGGAAGCTGTTTACATAGGAGTTGGTTTGCATAATTATATAGACCTAACATTGCCCTGTCTTTTTTTTATGTTACTTATTGCTGCTGCTGTGTGTAAATGTGTGTGTGGGGGGGTGTTCGTGCCGCACTGCACATGTGGAGGTCAGGAGACAACTTTATGGAGTCTGTTCTCTCCTTCCGCCTTTACGATTGAACTCAGGTTGGCAGGCCTGCATAGCGCCATGGCAGCAGACCCTCCTTGTCTCTGTAACGAGGCTTTCCTGCTAAGGAAATATATCACCGACTACATTTAAGTCACACATTTTGCATTATTGGCAAACGCAGGACTAACCCCAAGCTTTCTTCTTTTGGGATACAACCGTTCGTCATCTACATGAATGCTGTTTCTAGCACTGCTTCAGTTTTAACTGCTCACCCCTCTCCCTCCTGTCCTGCAGCTGGGATGAGAGCAGCTCCATCAGCAGTGGGCTCAGCGATGCCTCAGACAACCTCAGCTCGGAAGAGTTCAATGCCAGCTCCTCGCTCAACTCCCTCCCGACTACTCCCACTGCTTCCCGCAGGGGCTCTACAATAGTGGTATGTGGTTTTTGGAAACACAGCCCACCGGGTCAAGGCGAACCACAAAACGAACTGTGTAGATGTTGTGAATGGCGTCATTGTGACTGTATTCTGTGCTCAAGTCTATCTAGAGTGATACATGTAAGAATTTCCCCAGCTGGGCAGTGGTGGCGCACGCCTTTAATCCCAGCACTCTGGAGTAGAGGCAGGCAGATCTCTGTGAGTTTGAGGCCAGCCTGGTCTATAAAGTGAGTCCTAGGACAGCCAGAGCTGTTACTCAGAGAAAGGAGAGGGTGGGGAGGAGAAATGAGGGTGGGGGGAGTTTTTCCAATTGGAGGAGAAAAGGTACCCTAGAGACAGATAAAGTGTGTCCTCTCTGGAACCTAGGGGTGGCGGGCTAGTTGACTAAACACTATGGAATAATCCAGGCCCTTCAGCACACCGTTCCCCCTGCCTTTCTCTGCCCTTTTCTTTCCTCATTAGCTACGCACAGACTCAGAGAAGCGCTCTCTGGCAGAAAGTGGGCTGAACTGGTTTAGTGAATCAGAGGAGAAGGCCCCCAAAAAACTGGAGTACGACAGTGGCAGCCTGAAGATGGAACCTGGGACTTCAAAGTGGCGGAGAGAGCGGCCAGAAAGTTGTGATGACTCATCCAAGGGTGGAGAACTGAAAAAGCCCATCAGCCTGGGACACCCAGGGTCCCTGAAGAAGGGCAAGACCCCACCAGTGGCTGTCACCTCTCCCATCACTCATACAGCCCAGAGCGCCCTCAAAGTTGCAGGTGAGTTGAGATAAAGGGAGGGACAACAGTTTGATGGTTTTCCTTGACAGTCACAAACCTATAGAACGATAGCATACGTTTGCTTGAACATACGATTATCCTGTCTGATCCTTAGGACAGTTCTGTGAGCTAGGAAAGATGGGTGTTACCGTCTGCCTTACAAGTCTGGAAAGTGACTCAGTGAGGACAGGGGGCGGAGCTGTAGTCTTGTAGCTGGCAAGATGAACAGGAGGGAGAGCATATTCAGAGGCAGGTTCCTCCCTTCAGGTGGTTCCCACTGATTCTGTCTTTCCCTCCCCAAGGCATACTTCTTAGCACTGAAATAATATGTTAAATGGTTATGGAAAAGACATACAGCCAGACATGGTGGTGCACACCTTTCATCCAGCACTTGGGAGGCAGAGACAGGCAGATCTCTGAATTTGAGGCCATCCTGATCTACAGAGTGAATTCCAGGACAGCCAAGGTTATACAGAGAAACCCTTTCTCAAAGAGAGAGAGAGAGAGAGGGAGGGAGGCAGGGAGGATGGGAGGGAAGGAGGGAGAAAGGAAAGGAAAGAACAAAACATTCAGAAGTGCATTGTTCCTAAGGTTTACCCTCTGGTCACTTTGAACTTTAATCAACATTTCCCTTTAGTGTCCAGACATTTTCTTATCTAATTCATTGCATCCCCTCCTTCTTGCCCTTCCTTGACGAGTTATTAAATGCACTTCCTTCTTGATCATTTTCGTGGTTGCCTCTTCCATTTTAACCAAAATAAACCACCCCACAGAAAACAATAAAAACAAACTAAATGAAAGCCTGCTTCCTTCCTTAGTCCCTCTAGCAAGAAACTGTTCCGCTTATCCAAGACCCATTTACCCATATTTAGGCCTCTAAATTTTTTTAACATATAGACAATGGTTCTTTTTCCCCTTAGAGAGAAAGAAAGGTGTTTTTAAGATATTATAATAGGCCAGATGGTGGTGGCACTGCCTTTAATCCCAGGACTTCTATGAGTTTGAGGCCAGCCTGGTATACAGAGTGAATTTCAGGACAGCCAGGGCTACACAGAGAAACCTTGTCTTGAAAAACAAACAAACAAAGATGTCGTGATAGTAACTCTTCCTCTGTTTCCGGCCTCTTTTCAGGCAAGCCTGAAGGCAAAGCTACAGACAAGGGCAAGCTCACAGTGAAGAACACTGGGTTACAGCGCTCCTCTTCTGATGCTGGCCGGGACCGCCTGAGTGATGCTAAGAAGCCCCCATCAGGCATTGCTCGCCCCTCTACTTCAGGATCCTTTGGCTATAAGAAGCCTCCCCCTGCTACTGGCACAGCTACTGTCATGCAGACAGGTGGCTCAGCCACCCTCAGCAAGATCCAGAAATCCTCAGGCATCCCTGTCAAGCCAGTAAATGGGCGAAAGACGAGTTTAGATGTGTCCAACAGCGCAGAGCCGGGATTTCTGGCTCCTGGAGCGCGGTCCAACATCCAGTATCGCAGCCTGCCCAGGCCAGCCAAGTCCAGTTCAATGAGTGTGACTGGTGGGCGAGGTGGACCTCGCCCGGTTAGCAGCAGCATTGACCCCAGTCTCCTCAGCACCAAGCAGGGAGGCCTTACACCCTCCAGACTGAAGGAACCTTCCAAGGTTGCCAGTGGCCGGACCACGCCAGCTCCTGTCAATCAGACAGATCGGGAAAAGGAAAAGGCCAAAGCCAAGGCTGTGGCCTTGGACCCGGACAACATCTCCTTGAAGAGCATTGGCTCTCCAGAAAGCACTCCTAAGAACCAAGCAAGTCACCCTGCAGCCACCAAGTTAGCAGAGCTGCCACCAACCCCTCTCAGGTACCCACACTGGGCCATGTCTTCCTTTTCTGTTTCTCCAGCCTTATGCTAGATGTGACATGGCCTATTCATTGCTGTCTCTAGACTTTCATGTGGGCCCTTCCTCTCTCCTCTGTGTTTGATAACTCATTTTGTTTCTGCCGTTTCGTGTCAACACTGTCTTTGGTACCTGTGTGAATGGCTTTGCTATGCTTATTTGCACACTTCCCATGTGCATGTGTTGGCTCCCTTATGACTGAAGGTGCCGTAAGTCAAGTGTGGATTCTCCTTCCAATTGGTTTGTCAACAACATCAGAGTAAGCCTTTAGCTAAGTAGGCAGCCAGAAGAAAAGGAAACTATAAAAGGATTACCTGTTGCCCCGTAACTTGTTATTCTGAATATTTTATTTTATCTTTACTCCTCTTAGGGCCACAGCTAAAAGCTTTGTCAAGCCACCCTCACTAGCCAATCTAGACAAGGTCAACTCCAACAGTTTGGATCTGCCATCTTCCAGCGACACCCATGCTTCAAAGGTCCCAGATGTGCATGCTACAAGCTCATCAACTGGGGGCCCTCTCCCTTCTTGCTTCACCCCCAGTCCAGCACCCATCCTCAATATTAACTCAGCCAGCTTCTCCCAGGGCCTGGAGCTAATGAGTGGCTTCAGTGTCCCAAAGGAGACCCGCATGTACCCCAAACTCTCAGGCCTGCACAGGAGCATGGAGTCCCTCCAGATGCCGATGAGCCTGCCCAGTGCCTTCCCCAGCAGCTCTCCCGTCCCCACCCCACCTGCTGCCCCCGCTGCCCCATCAGAGGAAGAGACCGAAGAGCTGCCCTGGAGTGGAAGCCCCAGAGCTGGGCAATTGGACAGGTATGTGGTGGAGACCGAGCCAAGCCTGCCTCAGACTCGCTTGGCCGTTAGCAGGTCCATCCATTACCGTCCTGTGACTTTTGATACATGTTTTTCCACATTTTGAATAATGTAATTCCTTTGTAACTCCCTGAGATAGGTAGGGTTTTTTGTTTTGTTCCCATCTTGTACACAAGGAAAGAAAGCTTTATAAAAAGTTAAATTACGTCTCAGGAATCTCGTATTAGTTTTATTCATCATCTACCTTTGGCTTCCAAGTGCAAAATCAGTTCTATTGTATAACATCCTGGTTCTCACTGTCCATAGTACGACCTTTTAAATGACTAACTACACCACTTCAACTCCTAACAAAAGGAAAACATCTAACATTTCAAATATTTCCCAAGTTCTGAGTCAAGAATTTGATTGTGACCATTGTATTATTTGTTTATAGGAATAGATTTTCATAGTTTGCTGTCTTGTCTCCAGAGGATATACCCCTCAAAGCTATGGTCCCAAACTCTAGTTTCCAAGATAGGCTCATCTCTCTCTCTCTCTCTCTCCCTCCCTCCCTCCCTCCCTCCCTCCCTCCACAGCAGTCAGCGGGATCGGAACACTCTACCCAAGAAAGGACTCAGGTAACCCTTAAATATGTTTGTTTGTTTTTCTACCATATACTCAAGACTCCTGGCCTGTTAAAAATTTCAGCTGGGTGATCCTTTAGTCCCAGCACTTGGGAAGCAGAGGCAAGTGGATCTCTATGAGTTCACTTCCAAAAATAAATAAAATCCAACCCAAACTAACCCAGACCCCATGCACGAATTTAGTGGCCCTTTTAGTCTGTCATTTGTACTTGGTCCTACAAAAATGCCACCCACATTCCTCTGCAAACTCACTATCAAGTGAATTAGCTTTTATATTCAGTGATTTTCTTTGCTGTCAAGGGAGAAATGAATTTGCATACAGGAACCATATCCTACGCTGATATCAGAACCCTACAGGAACCGTGTCCTTACTCCATCCTATGCTATCCTTCCTCCGTTCAATTCATCACCTCACAGTGGACTTCTGAGGCCACTCACATAGGCAAGGAACAGGGAGTGTGAATCCTCCACTGTTGGGATAGCACTGAGTTACCCAGCTAGATGGGGATGGGGGGAAGCCTGTCACCTGAAAGCCTGCACACGGAGCTATAGAGCCCTGAGTGGAGAGGAAGTCCTAAGGCTTCATCTGTCCTTTGTCCCCATCAGGAGCTCTCAAGGGAAGGGACTTTGCTGAGTTACCATCCCTTGCCTAGCTCAGGCATCCCACACACAGCTAAGCCTCTCGTGTCACTTGGTAGCAACTCAGACTGAGGTCCCCTGCTACTTCTTCAGGTACCAGCTTCAGTCCCAGGAGGAGACCAAGGAGAGGCGGCACTCCCACACCATCGGTGGACTTCCCGAATCCGACGACCAGGCAGAGCTGCCATCTCCCCCTGCACTCTCCATGTCCTTGAGTGCAAAGGGCCAGCTTACCAACATAGGTCAGTGTCTGTGGTCACTCGCTGTGGCGGGAGATGAAGCAGGGCTCGCTCTGCAGAGTGAGGCGAAACGACTAGGCATGTTTGGCTCAAGTTGCAGGGGGTTGCTTCATGGCGCCTCAGGTTACCAACCCAAACTAAAGATGAAGTGTTCCAAGGGCCTAAACTGAAAAGTTGCCCCTGGGCACAAGCTTCAGGCTCCTGGTGGAGTCAGAGTCTGAATGACAACATGGGAAATCTATATTCCAAGGCCTGAGCTTCCAGATGGGTGCTCCATGCACGGTACGGCCAGGGGCAACTTCCTACAGGGTGATACCAACCTGTGGGGCTGATGAGCGGCAGGCGGAGAAGGGTTGTTGATTGCAGCAGAGAATGAGGTCTGTCTCCAAAAGGAAAAGCCCAGATTCACCAACTGTTCTGGGTGAGCCAGGGCCATCCTAGCCCTAAAGGCAGACTGACTAAGACTCGTCCTAGGCAGGCCACATCCGCTTTAAAGCCTGCTGAGAAGGGAAAGCTGGGGGAGAGGGAAGTGACTCTGACTCAGACACAGGATGGGGAAACAGGCTTCAGGAGGAGGGCCTGACTCCAGCTCAGACACACACCAGCCCTGGTTCTGGGAAGCTCTGTGCCAGGACCAGTTTGATAGGAATCTCTTTGGGACAAGGCTGGAACAGACCTGCCATGTGCTAGCTGCCTCTCTCTGAATCGTCTCTCCTTTTAGCTGAGTGAAAGAAATCAGTTCTTTTGTGATGACTTGTGACAAGCCTGAGCAGTGATGGTGGGGAATTTGAGGAAAGATAGGAATGGAGGTTACTTGTTCCTGAGGAAGGGTCATCTGGCTTCCGTGGGCTTATCAAATGCAGGCTGGGACCAGCCTGTTTTCTGTCTCCATTGAGAGCCAAAGGAGGAGAGAGGCCATTTGTGCTGTAGAACAAGAGACTGGGCCGATCAGTAATTATCTTGGAGGTTCAAAAGGGGTAAGACAAAGGTGTGGATTCTTCTTCCCAGGTCTTTATAGGCAGGGGAAACATCTACATGCTGTATGGAGGCTAAAGGTCAGAAGCCCCACAAGGATATGAGCCATGAAAGGCAGAGATTCAGCAAAGGAGGAGTGGGGGTGGTGGCCTCTGTGGTCGGCCTACCCCACAGCTGTGGGTTCCACAGCCTCACTGACACTTTCATCCCTCTGTCTCTCTGACCTTCATTCCAGGGGATGCTGGGCAGAGAGGCCATAGTCTAGTTTGAGATCTCAACCAAAGTGACCTAGAGTGACACTGCTTTACAGGGGGCCGGGGGCTTAATCCCTTTCATAACCCTGAGCCCATTGGATCCCACAGCCTGGTCCCCTTCTCTGTGGCTGGTTCTGTTTCGTCATTTGGATCTGAGTCTTGATCTGATTCTCGTCCCCACTAAGACAGCTTCCAGTTGTGTTTTTGGGAACCACAGCATCCCATTTTCATCTGCACATCCTAGGGATGTGAAGGTTTCGGGAAAGCCGCCAGGCCCCCAGCCTCACCTTCAAAAGCAACGACTCCAAGGCAGGCAGCGTTAAGAGAAGACCCTTATTACAGACCGTGGAGTCCTTCTCCATTAGGGCCTAGCCTTCCCAGGAGGGGCGACTCCTAACCTCCAGCTGCTCGCACACCCCCACAGCCCCACCTACTGCCCCTTCCTCTCCTCCCTTCTTCCCATTTGCCTCTCATTGACCCCTGCTCTGTCCCCCACAAGGGACCAGAGAGCTGATGGCCCTGCCTCTTCTCCTGCCTCCCCCTCCCCCTTCCCCCCTTCCCTCTGTCCTTCCAGTGAGTCCCACTGCGGCCACCACGCCAAGAATCACCCGCTCCAACAGCATCCCCACCCACGAGGCGGCCTTCGAGCTGTACAGCGGCTCCCAAATGGGGAGCACCCTGTCCCTGGCCGAGAGATCCAAGGGAATGATTCGGTCAGGATCCTTCCGCGACCCCACGGATGATGGTGAGACTTCATGCTAATGCGGTTCACACTCATCCCGGCTTTGCTGGGCTCCCTCACCCACCACCACCTCCACTGCCACCGCTGCCGCCACCACACACACATATTTAATTCACAGGACATCAACTTGGGCCATTTCAGTTCTGTCTTCCCATAACTTTGAAGGGTCTGGGGGCCCAGAAACCTTGGGTGGCACCACCTAGCACTGGGGTTTGGGGATGGAGCATCTACCATTGGGGCCCAGGGAAGGGAAATCGAACTTTGGAAGGGTTAAATGCGACTTCTAGGTGCTCTGAGAACAAGAGCTTCTATGCATGCGAAGTCTTTCTTTCCCTTCGGTGTCTCTCAGAAGAGATACGGGGACAAAATGGCAGCTCTTAAATTCATACAAACAACTAGGCATCTCAGTCCTCTTCCTGGAATGCTGCAAAGACTAGCTCCCAGGCTGGCCATCTGATGACCGATGGTAATCTGGGTGTTAATGGAAGACCAGGCCGTGGGGTTCATGAGACCTCCATTATTGTCAGGATGCATCCCTAGTAGATGTGTTAGCTCTGTTAGTTCTTGCAGCGGGTTCTGTTGAATGATCACAGAGTGTCCCCCACTTCCTTTTTTTTCACCCGACTGGTCCCCAGGCTCAGAGGCTAGCACTGCAAGGGTGAGGGGAGGAGGCACAGTTAGAATCGGAGTGCTGGTTCTGAGCGGCTCTGACAAGGAACAACCCCTTTCTGCAACCTAAAGTGCTTTCGTGGCTGAGCAGAGCAGGTGCTGACCACACGTGAAGATCTCCTTTCCCTCTCTCTGGACCCCTATGCTCCTCAGTCAGGCTGAGCAAGGGACCACCAGGAGGCCCAGGCTGTCAGAGGATACAGATGAAAGGGGAGGCTGTCTCTGTTCAGGACCATATCCTCGGATACCGAGTGCCTGCTGTGGGATGTTGGGATATAAACGGGATGCCCTGTGTTGTTCTTTCTGTTTGTTCCAGATGCCCTCCAAGAGTCCAAACTCCTGCCTTTGGGCTCCTCCCAGGAGCTCCTGGGCCCTGGAACCCGCTGCTAACCCTCTGTGCTCTCCTTCTCTTTCAGTTCATGGTTCGGTGCTGTCTCTGGCCTCCAGTGCCTCCTCCACCTACTCCTCAGTAAGACCACTAATGTCCCTGCCCCTCCCCTGCCTACCATTCCACATTCCCTCAGACCTCCTTTGGTTGGGTATGGATGGGGATGGGGAACTGCTGTCTCTGCATCCCACCCTGTGGGCCTGGGAGTGGGTCTAGGGGGAGGCACCCAGCACTTGAAGCTCTCAGATGAGTGTCTTGGGTCCTCTGTCCTTTCTGGCCTTGTCACCAACTCCCAAGCAACTCTGGTGTTCTTTTTCCCCTTCTCCTTTGAAAAGTGAGAATCTCCTTATGACAGCACCGGCCATGGGAAATGTTTCTAGCCCCGAGATGAGTAGGTTCCCAAGACTGGAGACGCAGTGCCATGCAGAACTGACCAAGTGTCTATGTGGGAACCGCACAGGGCATTGGGTTGTAGATACCCTTTGACTCTTAGCTTTGTTCTGACCCCAATTCTTTCCTCCCTCAAGTTGCTCACAATCAAGGTTTGTTCCAGGCCAACCAGTCTCACTCTCTAGCCTTTTTGGCAATAACAAGACTGGCTAAAGAGAAGCACCAGAGAGAAGCCTATAATTTAAACCGGAGTGCAGCTCCAGGCAGTCCTGTGAGGAGCCAGGGCCAGGAGACAGGGGACTCATCTCTCTGCATCTCTCCATCATGCTCCTTTCCGTCTCCGCCCTGACACTTGGGCCTGGCCTCTGCACCTCCATGGTAACACCTGCTTTTCTCTCTTTCTCTCCTTCTGTGCCCACTTCTTCAGGCTGAGGAGAGGATGCAATCTGAGGTAGGGTACAGAGCCCTTGTCTCTGCTTGTTAACATCGCCTCGCACTTCATTCTCCTTCTGGACCCTCCACTGCCCCGCCATCAGTAGTTTGCCTTTCTCTTCCTTTCCCAGCAAATTCGGAAGCTCCGTAGGGAACTGGAGTCATCCCAGGAAAAAGTGGCCACGCTGACATCTCAGCTCTCTGCCAATGTGAGTACCTGAAGCCGTGTAACCCTCGCTCTAGTTAAACACAGGCAATGATGAATGCCCTGGGTTTAGACCTGTGGGGAGCAGGTTCTGTTCACGGCTCTACGACAGGAGATTTGGGGACTCCCCTTCACTTTTTCTGAGCCTTCATTTAGAGCCATTTCCCCCCACCTCAACTACTTGGTATGGATGAGCTGGTATCTGGTAATCTTTGACCTTCCTAAAGAAAGCAGAGACCAGTGGTTCTTCAGAGAGGCAGGAACAACCTTGCCCTAGGACATGGACAAAAATAGCAATGCATCTTAATTACTGAGCCCTTGGATCCCTTTCCACTGCCCCAGGGTGTGTTTATCTCTTCATCAATGCCACATAACTGAACAGGCACAGACCTGGTTATTAGAATTCTGTCTGCTGACCATGAGACCAATCCAAAGCTGATCTCCCATTCTAGCTGCTGCCTGTGTGGTTCACAGCTGGCCCTGCCTTGGGCAGCTGGCAGAATCAATCTTACTTTAGTTTTGGACTGGGCATTCGTCGCTTCTGCATTTAACCCGCCCTTCATAGATCCATTTCAAATGACTGCCTTCCTCTGGACCTGACCTTAGTTTTTCTGTTCTGAGAGATGGGGAGAAACGGAGCTACCTCATCTACCTCCCCTGAGGGAAGTTCCTCTCCAGTGACCAGTTTGCAAGTGGAGAGCATGAGAGCCATTTTCTCTCAAAATTATAAACAACAGCTGAGCTGGGTGTCCAGGAGCTTTCCAAGTGTTTGCATGAAAATAACCACATCTGCAGTTTCCGCAGTAGTTTGTGTGTTTCTCTCTTCTCTTCCTTTCTGGGGACTCAGCTGCCAGCTGAGGCCTATAGCCCTTAGAATCAGCTAGAATGTCCACCAAGGTTTTTCATGTTTCTAACATATTTTAGAAACAGCCCTTACCACATTGGTTATTGTCTTTATTCTTTCTCCCAAATCCTCAGTTCATAAGTCATGTACTGACTGGTTTGTACGAAGCCCCTATCAGACTCCAAACTCCTTGAGACCAAAAGAATTATAACAGAAACAAGAACCGTCCTTTACCACACCCGTCAAGGCCAGTGGCCCAGGTCATGTCCTGCACACCCTAGGAAATTCATGTCTGGGAGATGTTGAAGGGAAGAGGCGCCAGGGAGGCGGGGAACATCATTACGCCTGATTCATTTACACTGCAGTCTCTCAGCCATAGTGCTGTCAAGGCTGGGCTAGTTCCAGAAAATGAATTTAGAGGGTGAATTTTCTTAGAACAGGAAGTTCCATTTGGCTAAGAGAGAGCAAACTAAAACCCAGATCTGGTGAATTCTGAATCTAGAATTAGATTTTTTTTACCAAGGGTCAGAGCCCTTCCCTCAAGCAGGAGAGGCGATGCCAGGTCCCAGAGCTCTGCTCGGCATTCCTGATGTTGAATGGAACCACCAAGCTGCTGAAGATGACACATCCTGGCCGTGAAGAGACCTAGGTCACTGTTTTGCCTCCAGTGCTGAACTCTATGCAGAAGATGACTTGGCCTGCAGGCACCCTGATCTGGAGTTGGGATTTGAGCAAGGTTCAGTGTTGGAAAAGACAGAAGAGAAGAGCAGGGAAAGCCCAGTTCCCCAGATGAGGAGATGATCGTGCAGACACGTGTGAGGCCGCTAGGGGCTCTCCAGGATCTTAAGTAGATTTTCATGGACTATAAGCGTCTTGCCAACCGCATGTGATAGTACAATTAGAAATAACAAGAAGAGTTGACATTCAGAAGACAGAAGGTGGGAGATGGAGCGATGGCTCAGTGGTTAAGAGTACTGGCTGCTCTTCCAGAGAACCTGGGTTTGATTCCCAGCACCCACATGGTGGCTTTCAACCTTCTGTAACTCCAGTCCTAGGGGATCCAGCACCCTCTTCTGGCCTGTATGGTGCCATACACACATATAAATAACAAACATAATAACCCACATACAAACGATACGGGTTAACACTTAAAAAATGATAGGAGGTGAGAGTTGGGCCTGAGAAGGCAAGCAAGAAGATTGCAAGTTCAAGTCCTGTTTGAAACACTGAATTCAAGGCCAGCATGAGTAACTTAAAAATCTTCTCTCTCTCAAAAAAAAAAAAAAAAAAAAAAGACAAAGCGAAAGAGATATATGTCTGCTAGGGAGCCCAGGCCTCAGCAGACTCACAGGAAACACAGAAGATACTGCCTCCAGCCTTGTAGACTCCGAGGGCACTGGTGAAATTTGCCTTGGTGGTCAGAGAGGACAAGTCACAATGTGAAGTAATAGGAGGCAATCAGCATGTTGCAGATGCCGCAGGGATCTGCCCAAAGCCTTCTGCCTCTTGCTAGACTCACCATTTGCTCCGGTGCTCTCACTGGAGACTGTCCATCCTTGAGTGATCCCTTTCTGCTCCCATGCCTCAGTCCCTTCACTTTTCCTATCCCTTTGCTGCCAGTTGGCTAGCTGGAGATCAAACCACTAGGTACCTTTCCCCAGCCTGCCTACCAGAGGTCTGTGTACTACTAGAGGAGCCCGAGTTCCTACAGTTTCCAGTGTAGACCCTGACACCTAGTGGCCAAAGTGTGGAATGCCCCTATGTGGTTTGCACAGCCTCTGATTTCCCTCCCACCCTGCCAGGAATAAGGCATTGTCTCCAGAACCAGGAGACAAGAATAGTCAGTCAGGTGCAGAGGCAGAAGATCTAAGCTGAACAGACCCTACAGAAAGGTCATTGGTACCAGGAGATCTGACCCTAACCAAAAGCAGTAAGACTAATTCCAGAGGCTGTTGCCCTCCCCTCAAACCTTCCCCCGACCTAACGCCACTGGTAGGTGGTAGGAGCCAGATCTCAAGTTTCCGAGATGCTCCAAAAGCCTGCCCTACCTTCTGCACTGTTCCTGGAGAAGCTGGTTCTCTCCAGAAAACCTAGTTGATTCCACCTTGCCTGCCTAGGGAAATCAATACCTTAAAACCACCAGGAGTTTTGTTTGTACCGGTCAGCTCTGAGACGCAGGCAATCTGTTAAACTGCTCCCTTGTCAGCCGTTTCCTCATCCTCAGCCTCACGTGCCTTACGTTCTTCTTTGTGTGTTTGTGTCAGGCTAACCTGGTGGCTGCGTTCGAGCAAAGCCTAGTGAATATGACATCCCGCTTGCGACACCTGGCAGAGACAGCTGAGGAAAAGGTGAGCGGCTCGGGGCGGTGAGTTCTAGGCATCCTAGCCAGGGCCGCGTCTTCCCTCCGCGTCTCCTCACTTTAGTCGCCCTGGTTCTCGGCCTGCCTGTCAGTACCATACCCCGCCTTCATTACTCCCAGTTCCCTGGCCTTTTCTGGGCACAACAGTAGAATCCCATGCCTGCTGGGTCACTAAGTGTTCCTGCTGTGCAAGTAACAGCACAACTGTCATCTCTCCTAGGACACGGAGCTGCTGGACTTGCGAGAAACTATAGACTTCCTGAAGAAAAAGAATTCGGAGGCCCAGGCGGTCATTCAGGGAGCACTGAATGCCTCAGAAGCCACACCCAAAGGTAGGATTCTAGCCACAGAGTGCAGGAAACAGAAAAGCACAGGAGTCAGTGAAAGGCAGGTGGCTACAGGGCCCGTCACACGCCAGCTTTCATGTCCCGTTTCTAGAAGGTGAGGACCCTTAGGTGATCTGCAGCGTGACGTCTGGATTGTCCAGTGAGGAGTGCCAGGAGTGTGACCCCGTAACCCCTGCACAAAACTCCTTTGTATAAATGTACCACATTTCTTTTATTCATTCGCCTGTTAAATGACTGGTTCCCTTGCCTGGCTGTTGAGAACAGTGCAGCAGCCAGCATGGATGTGCTATGTTTGTTTGTTTTTTAGCAAGGTCTTGCTGTGTAGCTAGTTGGCCTCAAACTCCCTTTGTAGACCAGACGAGCCTCCAACTTGCAGCAACCCTTCTGCTTCACCCTTGTATAAATGCACAACACACATCTTTCCCATCTGCGGTTTACCCAGCTCGGGTACTCTCAGCCTAGGTACCAGGCCGTTAATACAACACTCATGTTTGGCCCTTGGAGGGAGTTCTCTCTGGTGCCTACACAGTCCCAATTATACTCCCCTCCGTATTGTTCCTGTCCTGGCTCAGGTTCTCCACTGTTCTTCCCCTGAGTTGCTGCAGTAATCCCCTAGCTGGCTCTGGATGCTCCACTCCCTACTTCCCACCCCCACCCCCCCCATTAGCTGCATTGTCAGTTCAGATCAGAAAGCATTCCGATGTAAATATGAGCTGGTTATTAGATAAAAAGAATTATGATTAATTTCCTTTGGTCTGATAATGCTATTGTGAGCAAATATCCATATTCATAGGAGATATGTCTTCAGGCATTTAGCTGTAAAATTATCATCTGCAACTTATTTTCAAATTGTGTGAGAAACTGGGGAGGGCGCAGATAGAATAAAGTTTGCCATGGTTGAGTTAGGCCGAGGGCAGCCGAGTGAGTGAGTGCTGATTTACTGGGCTGTAAGTTTTCCCTCGTGTTTGAAACGTTTCAGAAAAGCAGATTAAAACAGGCCAGATTGTATCCCCAGCCCTTCAGAATTACACACCAGCCTCCTCCTGCTCCAAAGTGTGTGTTTCTTTTTGGCCCCGTCTTCCATAATTTCCTCTTGCACCTGATATTCCATCTATAAATAATCCTGCCATATGGTGGACACTTTTCTAAGCATTTTACCTATATTTACTTACTCCAGAAAACAACCTAACGAAGCATATGTTGTAATGAGGAGAATAAGACAGAGAAAGTAATTCGCTCCATTATCACAGGTGATATATCTGAGATATTCAGCTATTTACAGCTTCCCAAGTGAGCTTTGCCCTTGAGATAGACATTTTCTAAACGAATAAATTAGGACTTTCTGCTGTGACTGTTCACAGTAGCCTTAGTTCATTGATCAAGAAGCAGCTTCATAAAGAGCATTTCCTATAGCTTCACTAGAGCTAGTGCTGAAACAGTAGTACCCAGGTGTGTTTTATTTATAAATAGCCAAAACATGTGCATGGCACAAAACTCAAGATGCACGAAATGTTTTCTAGCTGTTGCAGATATTTGATGCTACAAACTTATCTTTAGCACTCCACCCCTTCCCCAGTCCTGAGAGTTGAAGTCAGCACCTTAATGCACAGTAGGCAAGCACTCTACCACCAAGCCATATCTCTAGCCCTTTTTTGTTACTGAAAGTGTCTTAGATACAATTTTTAATTTAGTAGATGGACTTGTAACTATCGAAAGCTCCCTATGCTAGTCAAATACTTACTAGTTTTTTCCCCTGGGGGGGGGGTCTTGAACCCAGGACATCTGCGTGTACCTTTCTTCAACTCTAAATGCTTTTCTTGATGTTTCCATCTTAAATACCTCTACTCTTTCAGTACTTAAACGTCTCACTGTTGGCCCTTATTCCCACTTTTTTTAAGGAAGAGTGGTTCATTTTTGTTGCTATTGCAAACCTCAGAGAATTCAAGTTATCTGCCTTGTCAGATGACAAACTAGAGCTCATTCAGGTTCAACATAAGGCACACGGCTGCTTACAGTTGACCTTGAGCCAAAGGCAACCAAGTTTTGCTAGAGGATCATAAAAATATAACAGGACATAGGGCTAGAAAACTTCCACAAGTTTAGAGCCAGCCTGGACTACAGAGTCAGTTACAGGTCAACCTGTGCTACAGAATGAGACCCTGTCTCAAAAAATAAAACAAAACAAACAACAAAAACAGGTATAATGGCTCATACATGTAATCCCAGCACATGGGAGGCAAGGCAGGAGGACTGTCACAAGTTCAAGGCCAACCTGTTGTATATAGTGAGACTTTGCTAAAACACACACACACACACACACACACACACACACACGCACGCACGCACGCACCAACCAAGCAAGTGGTGGTGTCACACGCCTTTAATCCCAGCACCCAGGAGACACACAGAAAACCCTGCTTTAAAAAAAGTGTCCAGGGCCAGCTTCAGTTAAGTCCTTTTCACAAATAGTCAATCTGAGTTCATTACTGAACCCTTCTATTATACTAACCTGGGGATTCTTTCTTGTTGTGGTTTCGTGGTTTCTTTACTTTAGTTGTAGACAGGGTCTTGCCATGTAACCCAAGTTAGCACAAAACTCACAATCCTTTAGCGTCCCAAATGCTGGGCACCACTTTGCCCAACTTAGACCAGGAGCTTCCTGAGAATGGGGATTGTTTCTTTTATTTTTACTTTAACATTTTCTTCTATGCTGAAGCATGACTGTAACTCTATAAGTATTTATTGAATGCATAACTACCAAACGAGTAGTATGTACTTAGAAGTTAGTGGGCCCCACACCTCTCTTGTCAGCTGCAGCTAGACTCCCTTATAAGCCTCATGACTTCTCTAAATCTACCTCTGTGTTCTTCCCACTTGTACTGGCCAATAGAACTCCGGATCAAGAGACAGAATTCCTCGGATAGCATCTCCAGCCTCAACAGCATCACCAGCCATTCCAGCATCGGCAGCAGCAAGGACGCTGATGCCAAGAAGAAGAAGAAGAAAAGCTGGGTAGGTGGTGTCACGGGAGCCGACCTGTGGTAGTTCACGTTTACCCCTTCAGGACCAACCAAGAGATAGTCCCTTCTAGTAAGGTGTCAGTGTGTCATCTGCTGAGAACAAAGTGTGCTAAGTCCCTTCTCCTCCAGCCATTGCTAGCCCCCCCCCCACCACCACCACCACTCTCCCGGAACTCTTTATACATACCTGCTCTCCTGGGGCTCTACCTGCTGGTGAGGTCAAAGGTATTTGGGCACAGAGGGAGCTGAGAAAACATCGAGGAGAAAAAAAAATGACATATCAGTCCCTCCCCCACTCTCTCACTGCGGAGAGAATTTATAAGCCAAGGGACTCGTTCTAGATGCTCCCGGGACCATTGCCTTGGTTTGGGAGAGGTGCCGCTGGCTGGCCCAGAGGTGGGTTTGTTATGTGTGCTGTCCTCGTCCCCCACCCCTAGCTCTAAACTGACCCTGGGTGAGCTTTTCTAGAGTCTTTAGGCAGGTGTAGGGGGCTGTCTGACTGACTGAAAGGAAGAGTGACCCAGAGTGAGCTGTCTTGTCCCTGTCCCCTGCTGATGAAGGCTGGCCACAGAATGTCACCTAGTGCAGACAGGAGCCCGCTGTGTGAAACAGCTGTGTGAAATGAATGATTAGTGTTGCTGCTGCTTCTTTCTTTTCATTTTTTCCTTTTATTTCCTTCAAAATGCTGACTTCCAATCCCTATTTTTTTCCAGGTTTATGAGGTAAGAGACTCAGTTCCTCTCCCTTTACTTTTTCTTTCCCTTTGCACACCCTCCCTAATTCCAGAGCAAGTACCCTCTCCTTAAAACAAAAGGGTCACTCATGACCCCAACTGCCCCTAATTCCTAACTCACTCCACTGCATGGTCCATCCACGATGCCCCTCATGAGGACAGAGGAGTGGTCTGCTTAGGGGTCAAATGGGAAATCTTAACAAAATCCACATCTATTGCCTGCCATCTTCCCCTACTCCATGATTGGCCTGCTATAAAAAGCAGACCATTGAGCTCCTGTTATCCAGAAAATGGGCCTTTTGTTTCACTCACCATGAAATCCCAAAATGGAAGAGGCTCAATGAAGGCTATCTGGATCACAGTTTCTGGAGACCTGTCCATTTCAGGCTTATAAAAAAAAAATCTTTAGAATAGTGTGAACCAGAGACAGGTGAGGGATTTATTTTATCCAGGGCAGGGAATGCTCATCACCCCAAACTGAAGGCCATGGAGCTTCCAAGGACATCTCAGGACTAGAGTACTGTCCAGGGCAAACAGGATGTGGCCCAGAATTTCTATTCGAAAACAGATATGTGAGCCCCACTCTAACTGTATCCCAGCATGGTACTAGGATGTGAAGGATAGAGAATGCTGAGCTCATTGCCCCAGTCACTTAGAAGCCTGCCAGCCTGGTGGTGTATGGTAAATCCCAACACTAGGGCGACTGAGGCAGAAGGAAGACCATGAATTCAATGGCGGCCTGACCTACATAGTGAATTCTAGGCCTGAGTTGGAGCCTGGAACCCACACAAAGATGGAAAGAGAGAAATAACTCTGCAGAGTTGTCTTCTGACCCTACACACACACACACACACACACACACACACACACACACACACACACACACACACACGCTGACTATATCATCAGAAACCTTTGAGGGGTGCTGTATTTCCTACTAAGTGGATCTGCCTTGGGAAAGTTCTAAGACACCCCGTCCCTAGCAGAGAATCCTGGTTCTCTTTGCTGAATACATCGGTTGAACCAGGCAACCAGTGTTGCTCTGTAGGGACAGAGCAAATGTCCCCCTGCAGCCCTGACCATCAGAATACTGAAGCTTACATAGAGCACTACTGCCATAGACATGTAATGATTGCACAGGGCTCCTGCTGTGGGCAGACACGGTCACAGGATGTCTCTCTAGAGAGGGAAGGAGACAGAGACAAGAGATAGACTGACTCCCATGGGAGAGTGGTGTGGAGAAAACTCCACCAGATTGAAAATCAGGAAGCCTGGTTGTCTTGCTTAAGATACGGTGTCAAGACAGTCCGTCTCAGCTCTTCCTCTCTGCAGCCGCAGCTCTGGGGTTCTTTCAAGCCCTGGTGGCTCCATGGTAACACATCCTAGCCAACCGCACACATACTCTCACCTGTCTCCTCAAGTCAGTTTGGTCCTCACGTCTTATCTAGAAGTTCCACACACACCGCATCCTAGCTATAAGCTCCCGGGAGACCTCAGATACCTTGAAAGGGGACACTGCTCAGCCCCTCCCACCACTACTTTTTCACTTACTGTCCCAGAGATCTGGCTTGCCTTTGTCCCCTATAGCCTTTGACCCCTCCTTTACTCTCTGTCTCTTGCTGCCCTCCCGTGTCTGTGTCCCTGTGTGTGCGTGTGTGTGTGTGCATGCTGTATGGAGGCATGTGAATGGGTGTGGGTCAGGTCCTTGGCTTGCATATCTAGCTCACATCCCTAACCCCAAAACTCATCACCAGAATCAAACAAACCATGGTCAGATTACAACGCCTCCAAGAATGACTAGAAAATAGCTCCTTATTCTAGGACTCTTGGCATAGTAAGCAGTGCCGAAAGGTGGGCATGGGGATAAAATACCAGTATCCCCAGCACTCAGGGAGTAGAAACAGGAGGATCCAGAATTCAAGATCACTCACTGCTACCTATATATTGAGTTCAAGGCTAGCCTGATCTACATAAGACTCTGTCTTAAAAAAACAAAAGACAAAACAAACAAACAAAAAACAGGAAAGAGATCTTCCATTTAGTAGTTTTAACCACTATGCCATGTGCTGAGAACAAGAAATACTAAGTGAAACTTGATATCACTTCCTTCTCTTGATCTTCACAGGACTTATATTGTCAGTTTCTGACTAATTTGTGAAGAGAGTAATAGATTCTTGTATAATGAGCCCAAGTCAGAAGTGGCATCCTAAGACCCACAGAGCATCAAATAATGGAGGAAGAGAAACTGAACTGTTCAGAGATGTACCATGTGACTTAGGGAGAGTTTTTTCTGTCATGAGGGACACAGCTCCCTCCATGAATTCAGTAAGTTCCCCTGGCCTGTAATGGCAGCAAACCAAACGGTCCTACTCTTGTGCTCAGTACCAACTTCTAGATAACTCCTCCGTCCAGCGGTCAAGTGACATCTCACAGAGTGGGTGTAATTACAAGTAAACCCTCTGCCTCCACATCCCTGTCCCGGCCCTAAAGCCATCTTCCCCATCAGCCTTGACGTCTCTCTCCCTGGGATCTGTTCTCTTCTAGCTTCGGAGTTCCTTCAACAAAGCCTTCAGCATTAAAAAGGGTCCCAAGTCAGCCTCCTCGTACTCTGATATTGAGGAGATTGCCACACCTGACTCCTCAGCCCCATCATCCCCCAAACTACAGCATGGCTCCACGGAGACTGCATCCCCCTCTATCAAGTCCAACTCATCCTCTGTGGGCACTGAGGTCACTGAGTAAGTGCTCTGTCCACCAGCCACCCTGGTAAACTACTGGCTGGAGTTGGCAGTAAGCCCACAGACCCTGAAAAATGCCACCATACTGCTGGCCTTTGCCAGCATGTGAGACCCACAGAGGGACGCTTCCTGACTTACCTATTAGGTGCCTATCTGCAGAAGGGAACAGAACTAGAGACCAGGCATGTCAATATCCCTGCTACCCAGGGCACCTCTGGGATCTAGGCTGACTCTTGCTTCCTTGCAGGGCCCCTGCCCATTCAGTCCCTCACACAAGACTGTTCCAAGCCAATGAGGAGGAGGAGCCGGAGAAGAAGGAGGTATCAGAGCTGCGCTCTGAATTATGGGAGAAAGAAATGAAGCTTACGGATATCCGGTTGGAGGCCCTAAACTCTGCCCACCAGCTAGACCAGCTTCGAGAGACCATGCACAATATGCAGGTCAGTGCCTGGGCAGAGCTGCAGGAGGGAATTGCAGGGCCCACCGTCCATGCCACCCTGCCACCTGCCCTTCTCTCTTGCCCACAGCTGGAGGTGGACCTCCTGAAAGCAGAGAATGACCGGCTGAAGGTTGCCCCCGGCCCCTCCTCAGGCTCCACTCCAGGGCAGGTCCCTGGATCCTCTGCTCTCTCGTCCCCTCGCCGTTCCCTGGGCCTTGCTCTCAGCCATCCCTTCAGTCCCAGTCTCGCAGATACAGGTACCTGCTTGAGAAGAGCTTGTGTGGGTAGAAAAAGAAAGGGTTCGTTGACATCATTCCACCTATGCCATGGCGTCCTTGAGCCAGGAGGTAACGGTGTTGAAATCAAGAAGATCCCACTGCCAGTCAACGCTACAGTTCTTAGCTCTATGCTTTTCAGATTGGGGCTCGCATCTCTTCTTTGTCATAAACAAGGACTCATTATTGGGAAAGGAAAGTAACTACAGAGTTTGGAGTAAGGCTGGGTCCTTAAAACCAATTAGTCTGTTTCAACCTTCACAGACCTGTCACCCATGGATGGCATCAGCACCTGTGGTCCAAAGGAAGAAGTGACCCTCCGGGTGGTGGTGCGGATGCCGCCCCAGCACATCATCAAAGGGGTAAGGGACTTTAGGAAGGGCCGCAATAGGAAGCAGCATGATATAGATGGCCCCAAATCTGCACTGGTGCAAAAGCGATGTATGTTTAGTAGAAACTGTGCTTACACATCGAGTTTTGGTCTGTCCCTGGGCTAGCAATATGCAGTATGGAACATTCTCAAGACCCTGGATGGTGGCCTTCAGCCAGCCACACAACCATGAGAGTAAACAGCAAATGTTCCCATAGCTTCAGTGTACTTAATGCACCTGGGACTCATACTATTTGAACTCATAATGGTTTTATCATGGGGTGGAGGGAGGAGGACAGGGTCTCATTTAGCTCAAACTGACCTTGAACTTGCTGTACAGCAGAGAATGACCTAAAAGTCTGATTATCCTGCCTTCACACCCCTCTTTTGGGGGGAGGGTCTCATGGGGCTGTCACATTAAATAGAAGAGCACCTATACTGTCATTCTTACGCAAAAAAATCAGAGTTCCGAATATTCCGAAGCTAGCGTGTTAACTCCTGAGGCTTTCTGGGACCTCCCTTTCTAGTGCCATCTTCACTGAGGCCCACATGCCTCAACCTTAACCTTACAGGACTTAAAGCAGCAGGAGTTCTTCTTGGGATGCAGCAAAGTCAGTGGCAAGGTGGACTGGAAGATGCTGGATGAAGCTGTCTTCCAGGTGTTCAAGGTAAGGTGATTCTCACCCTCAACAGAGGTTGCTTGTCTTCCCAAAGGGCATTCAGCCATCCAGGCACCAGGATCCGGGGAACCTTTGATGCTTTATTGAGGGGGGGGCAAAATAGGAGAACACACATACCCTATTCCTCCAACAGCTCCTTTCATTGCCTAGGATATATTTTCTTTCTTGTGGCTTGCCCATCTGTAGTTTTGTCTTTTCAGCATGCTCACAGTCTTCTTGGTCTCCCACCTCTTCTACCAGGACTACATTTCTAAAATGGACCCAGCTTCCACCTTGGGACTAAGCACCGAGTCCATACATGGCTATAGCCTCAGCCACGTGAAACGAGTGTTGGATGCTGAGCCTCCAGAGATGCCGCCTTGCCGCCGAGGGGTCAATAACATATCCGTCTCCCTCAAAGGTCGGTCTTTGTCTCTTGGGATGAGGTAGTGTGGCATGGAGGCAGGGAGAGGGTCACCAAATCATGCATCGCGCATTCATGTAACGAGAAATTATTGAGAAACCCTAACGTGGAGGTGTTTAAGTAATAGAGGAAATAAAAAAGATGAGCCCCAATCTGGTGTTTTTGCCAGACTCGGGCTTCTTCTCCATCCGTTCTAAGTCAGAGTGTATCCCTAAAAATGAGATCCAGAGCTGGAGAGATGGCTCAGCGGTTAAGAGCACTGACTGCTCTTCAAAGGACATGGGTTCAGTTCCCAGCAGCCACGTGGTGCTTCACAACAGTCTAACTCCAGTTCCAGGGGATCTGATACCCTCGCACAGGCATACATGCAAAACACCAATGCACATAAAATAAGAATAAATAAATCATTTAAAATAATGAGATCCAGGTTTTCAAAGCTGGGATGAGGAGATTCTCCTGGAACTCTAAGACAAGTGGTTCTCTGACTTTCTTCATTGGACCCCTAGATGATGAAGGAAAGGCTCTTTGGGTATCTTGCCATCCTCAGAGCTGGTTGAGACTCGTGCTTTCTCTGGTGGGGTGCAGGTCTGAAGGAGAAGTGTGTCGACAGCCTGGTGTTTGAGACACTCATCCCCAAGCCCATGATGCAGCACTACATAAGCCTCCTGCTCAAGCACCGGCGCCTCGTGCTCTCCGGCCCCAGTGGCACCGGCAAGACCTACTTGACCAATCGGCTGGCTGAGTATCTGGTGGAGCGCTCGGGCCGCGAGGTCACTGATGGCATCGTCAGCACTTTTAACATGCACCAGCAATCTTGCAAGGTAGCTGCTCCTGAGACCTCCTGCCAGCCTGTGCCGACCTCAGCCTCGCCCAAGCCTTCTCCTGGCCCCTTCCTGCCCCTCATTCTTTTCCCTTTCCACAGCTCTACCTTAATCTTTTCCCCTTCAGTGTTCTTTCCCCCCCTCTCTTTCCTTCTGATAGCCCCTTTCTTGTCATCTCCTCTTCTCCCCTCCCCTCCTATCCTCTTCTTTCTTTCTTTCCAGGCAAGGTCTTGCTATGTAGCCCAGGTTAGCTTTGAACCAGCAGTCTGTCTGCCATCCCTCCCCTGCCCCCCCCACCCGTGTGTGTGTGTGTGTGTGTGTGTGTGTGTGTGTGTTGTTGTTGTTGTTGTTGAGTATTAAGCATAAAGCCTCATATATGCTAGGCAAGCACTCTACACCTGAGCTGCATCCCCAAGCTCTTTTTCCTTTTTCCTCTGAGACAGGGTCTCCCTAAGTTTCCCAGGCTGGCCCAACCTTGCAATCCCCCTGCCTCAGTCTTCCAGGTAACTAGGATTACAGGTTGTGCCACCAGCCCCAGCTTGCTCTTAGCTTTTAACAGATGACTTCCTCCTTCATACTTTCTCTCACCTCTGCCTCAGTTCCTCTTTCCCTCTAGTTGATCAGCAGTGAAGCACAGCCTCTTTGTCCCTGCACTCTGCTAATGCCGTCTGCCACATCCCTTCTCTTTTGTCTTGTCCCCTCTACTTTGCTTTTCACTGTTACCCTCAGACCATGGGTTATAGGGGGCAGATGTTCAGGACTAATTATTACATGTCACCATGGTGACATCAACTCACTAAAGCACTATTTCAGAATAGGTGATACTCCTTACTTTGTGGGGGTGATTTAAGATCAATGCTCAAAAGGGTTTGCTTGAAAGGAACTGGGGGTTTAGCTCAGTGCAGGGCCCTGGGTTCAATCCCCAGCATTTCAATAAACAGAAAAATAGATGGATGGCTAAATAGACAGGCAGATGTTTGAGAGTCTCTAGGACTACTATCAGTTAGTCTGTGGTAATCTGGTTCTGTAGTCCAATGTTTAAGTACATCCAACAGGGACCAAGGGCCCCAGGGAAATACATAATTAACCAAGCTTCTCCAAAAGTCTTCTTGCCAAGGTTCTTCAGATGCAGATTCCTGAGTGCTGACCCTCTGTCTTCTTTAATTTCAGGATCTGCAACTGTACCTCTCCAACCTGGCCAACCAGATAGACCGGGAAACAGGAATTGGGGATGTGCCCTTGGTGATCCTATTGGATGACCTGAGTGAAGCAGGCTCCATCAGTGAGCTAGTTAATGGGGCCCTTACCTGCAAGTATCACAAATGGTAAGCTGGGTCAGGACCCTTCACCGCAGTGGGAAGAGGGAGAAGAATGCAGCCTGGTCTAACCTGTGAGCTTCCTTCCCGTTGTAAATGTGGAGACAGTAATTGTTAGGGCAGATCTAAGTAAATCCTTCTCCCTTTCTTCCCAAGTCCCTATATCATAGGTACAACCAATCAGCCTGTAAAAATGACACCCAACCATGGCTTGCACTTGAGCTTCAGGTAAGAACTGTGTCCCTTCATGAACCTTCTGGCCTTACCCAGGTGCCTGTAAATGATAATTCAGTCTTGAACTTGTGGGCAGAGGAGCAGTAAGTAGCAGGAGAGAATAGGCAGAGCCTTTCTGGGCTGGGAAAGGGAAGTAGATGTTTTTTGCATGTCAGTTACCGGGTGGAAGAGGAGGGCTAGGAGAAACCCTGGCTACCCTGGCTGACTGCCGTACTTCCTGGTCTCTGTGAGGCCAGTCATCTGAGGAGGTCAGCATCCAGAGCTGCTAGCTTAGTGCCATCACCAACTCCTGTCAGTTGAGAAGTCAAGTGGGCGTTAATGGGAGACCGGCAGGAAGGGCGAGACTGGCAGTGTCCCCACTGACACTCTGACCCTGTTTTTCCTATCCCCGGTGGCAGGATGCTGACCTTCTCTAACAACGTGGAGCCAGCCAATGGCTTTCTGGTCCGCTACCTGCGGAGGAAGTTGGTAGAGTCAGACAGTGACATCAATGCTAACAAGGAAGAGCTGCTCCGGGTGCTGGACTGGGTGCCCAAGCTGTGGTATCACCTCCACACCTTCCTGGAGAAGCACAGCACCTCGGACTTCCTCATTGGTACTGCGCTCCAGCTTCCCCTGGGGGCTGCAAGCAGTTTCCCTTCTTGTATCTTTCCCCCCTGGAGGGAGGCTCTCTTTACATGCTGGAGTGGAACCACTTACGTGTTTTATAAAGCCTTTCCAGTGCAGTAGCACTGTGAATTCGATCCATCACTCAGACAACAGTTGAACCAACTACAAGTTCAAGGCCAGCCTGAGCAACGTATTGAAACCTCCCCTAATCTTAAAAACAAATAAATGGGTTATTTAAGTGAAATAAATGTGCTGAGGGCATAGCTCACTGGTAGAGCACTTACTTAACATGTGCTAGGTTAAAGAGTAATGCTCCCCTTCCCCTCACTCCTGCCTCACAGTTAGTTGGGGGAGAAATCGTGCAGGAGGGGATTGAGATGCTTGCCTTCCTCCGTGTCTCTCTTCCACCTTGTGAACCTCACTGGTTTGCCAGACAGTTGGCAGCCACTGCTCCTGAACAGCTTCAGATTTCCCCTAAAGGTTTGGCTGTCACCCCTATGCCCTGTGCTAGCGAGTGGAAGAAGCAGGGAACATCGAGGTTCCCAGGCTTCTTCATGGCTGCATTGTTTTCCCTAGGCCCTTGCTTCTTTCTGTCCTGTCCCATTGGCATCGAGGACTTCCGGACCTGGTTCATTGACTTGTGGAACAATTCCATCATTCCTTATCTGCAAGAAGGAGCCAAGGATGGGATCAAGGTGAGCCTCACCCTCTGACTCTACTCAGACTTCTTATTGCTGTCCCAACTATAACTTGTTACCCGTTGATCCACCTTCCTGGTCTTCCCAGTCGCTGACAACCACCATGCTCCTTAAATATCTATGAGTTACATTTTTATACACCACATAGGACTGTGACCACATGATACTTACCTTCTCTGTGTGGCTTATTTTCACATTTGCAACTATGCTGTTGCAAATGACAAGATTTCAGTTCTTCTATGGCCAAACCATATTCCACTGTGTATGTAGACCAGATTTTATTTATTTCATCATCGGTCAATAGACACTGTGTAATTGCTATTACTTGCTATGTCACGGCTGCACTAACATGAGAGTAAAGATGCCCCTTTCAAAATAGTGGCTTCATTTCTCCTGAGTGTATATCTAGTAGAAAGATTGGTGGACCAGATAGTAGTTCTATTTTAAATTTTTTGAGGAATCTTCACAGTTTTTCATCATGGGCATATTGATTACATTCCCACAAAAAGTATACAAGGGTTCTATTTTCTCCATATTTGTTATCTGTAGTCTTTTGGGTTATCACCATTCTTACTGGGTTAAGCTCTTAACTAATTTTGGTTTTGATTGGCATTTCCCTAGTGATTAATGATACTGAGTACAGTGAAATGACCTTTTGGCTCTGTGTATGTCTTCTCTCAAGAAACAGCTATTTAGAACCTTGTGAAATTAGATAAATTTTATCACCTGTAAATTAGAGTTGTAATGATTACTGAAATCCATTCTAGCACTAAAATACTGTGACTCAATAACTGGGCCTTGTCAGTATATATCACCCATAAAAGTAATTTTATTGAGCCGGGCAGTGGTAGTGCACGCCTTTAATCCCAGCACTTGGGAGGCAGAGGCAGGCAGATCTCTGTGAGTTCAAGACTGGCCTGATCTACAGAGTAAGTTCCAGGACAGTCTCCAAAGCTATACAGGGAAACCCTGTCTCAAAAAATATTAAATGGTGATATATTAAATCTCTAAAGGTGTTTTCTATCAAACCAGTGTCATACTTCATTATTTCATTTACAAATTTGTGGTATTTTTTAAGGAAATTTTACAGTATAGTTAGTAGATTTCTAATTTAGAACATAATATCTATCCTCAAACATTTTTAAATATTAAAAGATATTATATATGCCTAAAATTGAAGAATTCCTCCCTGGAAAGAATAATTACAGGGCCAGGCGGTGACGCACGCCTTTAATCCCAGCACTCGGGAGGCAGAGGCAGGCAGATCTCTGAGTTTGAGGCCAGCCTGGTCTACAGAGCGAGTTCCAGGACATCCTCCAAAACAATAAAAAGAAACTCTGTCTCGAAAAAACAAATAATAATAATAATTACAGGGTCATAAAATTTGTATATGGTTTTAATGTAACTTAGTTATCCTTCATGGATGAATGGATAATGAAAATCTGGTATGCATATACACACAGTGCAGTGTGGATATGGGTATAGGTCATTTGAAGCAACATAGGTGAACCTACAGAGCATTATGTTATATGAAATAAGCCAAGGATAAAAATAATAGTAATGTATGTTCTCACTCACAAGTAGAGTTTGCAAAAGTGGAACATACAAATGCAGAGAAGAATAGTGGTCACCAGGGGCTGGAGATATGGTGGCTGAGTAGCTATCAGCCAAAGGGTACAAAGTTTCATTCAGACAGAGGGAATAAGTTCAGGAGATACACTGTATAACATGGTAACTATGGTCAATAACAGTATACTTTAAAAGAAAATAGGCTTAAGGGTTCTCACCACAAAAAAGATAGGACTTCATATGTATAGATGATTTAACCATTAGGTTGATTTAACTATTCCATAACTGATACATGTTTTTAAAATGCTATATTTTGTAAATGCATACAATTTATAAACGGATGACATTTTATTATTTTAACTGCCTTATTCCAAATATTCCCAAGTAAAACCATCACATAACTAGATTAAGGAACTACTCAAACACCTATTCTCAAAGTCTATGCATCTCAGTGAATATCTGTACAGTTAAAATGGATATGCTGAAGCCATGGAGCTTCACCTAGGGTTTTACACTTTTACTGTCAATTGCTTTTTTATTCACTTATCACCATGTATACAAAAAGCAGCAGCAGCAGCAATGGCAGAGTTGAAACTAGAAAAAAACATAACTTTATATCCTCTGTCATGACTTATGTGCCCTTTGTTGACATTATATCCTTCCTCATCCTCTATCCTTAATACAATTTTTATTTTTAAACTAAAAATAAATATAGAAGTGGTAGATCACTTGCCTACTATGCCCGAGTCCCTGGTCTCAACTCTCAGATCCACAATAAATGCATACATACATGCATACATACATACATACATACATACATACATACATACAAGTGATCTAGGCCATGGTGTGTCATGTCATATAACTCTAGCACTTGGGTAAGTGGCTAAGGTAGGAGTGTCACAAATTTGAGGCCAGTCTATACTATATAGTAAAAATCTTTTCATTAATTAAAAACGAATTTTAAGGTTTAACTGGGCATATGGCACATGATTGTAGTCTCAGGGGCTGGAGAGATGGCTTAGCCGTTAAAGGCTCACAACTAAAAACATGACTATAATCTCAGGAAGCTGTGGAAGGACTGCTGTGAGTTTGAGACCAGCCTGGACTACATAGCAAGCACCAGGACATCCAGATCCAAATAGTAAGACTGTTTTAAAAGAAAATTAACTAGGTACTGTGGTGGCACATGCCTTTAATCCCACCACTTGTAGTTGGGAGGCAGAGATAGGTGATCTCTCTCAGTTCCAGGCCAGCCTTGTCTACATAATGAGTTCCAGGCTAGCAAGAGCTACATAGTGAGACCCTGCCTCTTAACAAACTTTTAAGACACTATGCTAAATCATTCTCAATTATTCTAACAGTTTATACCAACTTATTTTCTTTCATGAGAGGCTAAGATACATAAATCAAAACTTCAAGTCTTTATGTTTGAGAATGTATATATTTTCAGGGACTGTTTTCATTGTTATTATTTGGTTTTGGTTTGTTGTTTTGGTTTTTGGTTTCTCTTGGGTTTTGGTTGTTTTGTTTTGGGGTTTTGGTTTGTTTGTTGTTTGTTTGTTTGTTTAAGACAGGGTTTCTCTGTGTAGCTTTGGTTGTCTTGGAGCTCACTCTGTAGACCAGGCTGGCTTTGAACTCATAGAGCTCTACCTTCCTCTGCCTCCCTAGTGCTGGGGTTAAAAGCCTGTGCCGCCACCACCACCTGGCCAGACTATATTTTTTGTGAAATGTAGAAAAGACAATATAAGTAAGCTTCTACTCTGTTGTTGTACCTCTTATTAATCACATTTTTCTTCTCCAGGTACATGGACAGAAAGCTGCTTGGGAAGACCCAGTGGAGTGGGTCCGGGACACCCTTCCCTGGCCATCAGCCCAACAAGACCAATCAAAGCTATACCACTTGCCCCCACCCTCTGTGGGTCCTCACAGCATTGCCTCACCTCCAGAGGACCGGACAGTCAAAGACAGCACCCCAAGCTCCCTGGACTCAGACCCTCTGGTGAGTGAAAGTCTTTATTTTTTAAGTCACAGAGTATTATAGAATGGAATTCATACACTCTTTATGTATGTTCTGATGGCCTTAAGCATTGAAGAATTTCAGCAGAGCCAGAACCAAAATGAGGCCAGTGAGGAGCTCTGAGCATCAGGATCTTGGGTTACCGTGATCTTGTGCCTGCATCCTAGCTAAAGCTAAATAACACATCCAGGAAGATGTATTCTAGCAAAGAGCCTAGTTTCAGGAGGACTGTGTAAGAATATAAACCAAAGAGGGTCTGGAGATGTGGCTCGGTAGCTCTGAGCACTTGATGCTCTTTCAGCACCCACATCTAAGACAGGGGATCTGACACAGCTGACTCATGTGGGCACTGCACTCATGTGGACACATGTACATGTAGATATACACACATATAATTAAAAATAATAAAAATTAACCCAGCACTTGGGAGGCAGAGGCAGGCAGATCTCTGTGAGTTCAAGGCAAGTGTGCTCTACAGAGTGAGTTCCAGGACAGCCAGAGTTACACACAGAGAAACCCTGTGTTGAGAAATGAAAATAAATAAATACCAATAATAGTAAAAATTTAAAAACTATCATCAAGCAAAGAAATAGTACACTAAGAGTTGACGACACTTCCTACCTCTGCTTCTCCTCTAATATTATTCTGAAACTTCGTCACTAAGTGTATTCTGTAAAATGTAAACTAGGAAAATATTTACAATAGATACAGCCAAAAAATTAGTATTTTAAGCATATAAGGTTAAAAGAAGCTCCCAGAACTGGAAAAATGGCTCAGAAGGCAAAAGGATTTGTCACACAAAGCTGACAACCAGTTTTGGGAGAGAAGTGACTCCCAAAGGTTGCTCACTGGCCTCCACATGCGTACCATGGAACAAGCAAACCTGTATTCACCTACCCCTCCTTCCCCCCTCTCTCTCTCACACACACACACACACACACACACACACACACACACACACACACACACTGTAAATAAAAATAAATTACATGAAAAAAATTAAGCTTCTAAACAAAAGAATGAGCAAAAGATAGGAAGAGGCCTTTGGCTAGAGGAGATATAAGTGACCAATGAAAAACGTAAGGTCTTCAACCTCTCCATAATAAGGAAATGCAAATAAAATCAAGGACTTACTCTTTTACATTGGCAATAGGCAGAGCATCTGAGGCACAGACTTTCAAACTCTGCTATGGGGTATTCCTTACTAAAACTGTGTCAGAGGGTAACTTAGCAGAATGGAATGAAACATAGCACATAAGTCCTTTGATCTTACCTTTGCACCTTTCCAGTAGGTAGTAATTCCACTTGAGTCGTAATACATTTTTATTTAAATTTTTACTTCATTGAAAACAGCTGTTTTTTATATCAAGACTGTTTGTTTGGTTTTTGATATGGGATTTCTCTGTGTAGCCCTGGCTATCTTAGAACTCGTTCTATAGACCAGGCTGGCCTCAAACCACAGAAATTCACCTGCCTCTGCCTCTTAAGTGCTGGGATTAAAGGCATGCATGACTACCACCCAGTATCTAGACACTTTTTAACTGGAAAACTAACTAGTAATATAGATAGAAGAAAAGATTGGCAGCAGTGGAGCCAACCAGGATTACTTAGCTAAAGCTTGAGCTATACAACAGAAAATGAGTACACTGAGGTGGTAGACTTGACACAGGATCTGAGGATAGCACACAGTCTATCTGTTTGGGTGTAACCCATTGCAAGGAAATTCCAAGAGTCCAGAGCTGATTATAGCACCTGTCCTATTACTCCCAGTATAAGCTGGCATGTATGAACCTCTGTCATTCCCTGGAGTGCATCTTGAAACAGGGGAAGTCTTGTTCTTTGTTGTCTTTATAGCAAAGGTGTCCCAGGTGATTGTTTATATGCATGGGTTTACATCAGGACTAAAACAATTGTCTTTCTTCATGAACTACCTCTAAACTCTACGGATCAGACCCATGATACACATCTTGTAGGATGGGTTTGTTTGTTTGTTTGTTTGTTTGGTCAGTCTGTTTGGTTTTGGTTTCAGTCTCCTGGTAGGCAGTACCCAGCATCCCCTCTGGCATTCACCCATCTCTCTGCCTCTTTTTAGATGGCCATGCTGCTGAAACTTCAAGAGGCTGCCAACTATATTGAATCACCGGATCGAGAGACTATCCTGGACCCCAACCTCCAGGCAACACTCTGAGGGTCGAGCAGTCGCTGTTGCCCTGGACAGCAGAAGGCTGGCTTCAGCTTCAGTAGCTCTCCTCTCCCTCTTCTTTCAGAGCTCCGGCTCACCAGCCTCACCGGGACAGGAGGGAAGAAGAGGGCAAGAGGAGGGATGGGTTCTCGGTGCTGAACCTTTGAGAACTTCCTAATAGGGATTGGAGGGGTGCAGTTTGGGAACTCGTGCCCCCTAAATACATTTACTGGCCTCCTCTTATGATTTTGGAGAAAAGATGATTCTGGGTCTTTTCTTCAATTTTTTGTTTCAGCTATAAACTCCTGGGCTTTCTGGGGAGGGATTCAGAGGGTATCACAAAAACTGCAGCAGTTGCTAGCTGGTTCTCATGAACACCTCTGAAACAGTCGCCTACGGGGAAATCTAAGGGAGGCAGGAAACTCCACAGATTTTCTTGCAAACTCTTCCCAATTCTATCACCACTGCCAACAACCTTCCCCCCCCCCCCCAGAGATCTGGCCAGAGCCCAGAAAAAAGAAGCATGTGGTTTAACAAAAAAAAAAACAAACAAAAAAATGTGTAAATCAACCTATAAGAAGTCAAAAGGCGATGGAAAAGATGAAGCTGGAAAGAGGGGACCCAGTTGCCAAGATGGAAAGAGAGCTGCCAGATCTCGCCTTTGGGATGACAATAGGGGACATTGACAAGATGACTTGCAATCTAAGATACCACCAAACTACAAAAATAACATCACAGCCTTCAGAGAGACTATGAGCTGCCTTTCTGCCCTCTAGCTGAACATGCATGAAAGTCAATAAACCCTACTTTTTTAATTTTTAATTTTATTTCTATCTTTTTCCCTTCCATTTGCCTATTTATTTGCCCCATCTCCCCAATTTTGTCACATGTTAATGAGATACTTGGGTTTTCTTCCAGGGGATATTTTTGCTTTCCATGTGGGTTTTCTTTGGAGAATTGAATTCCATACTATTGGTATAAGTTAGATTCCTGCCATGCCACTATCTCTGGCATCCTTGGGGCTTATATGCGACAAGAACATTGGCTCAGAATGGTAGGAGAAAAAGAACCCAGTTTCTTTGACTTTCCTTTTGAGCAAGTACATGTCCTACCTGGAAGCTCAACTGCCATTGTCTGGCATGATAGGTTTACCCTGAGCTTCATTGTGGACTGGAGGAAAACCAAAATACTGGAAACACCCACCTGTCTTAGGGCCTGTTTGGCCCCTCACTGCACTATTTGGATGGTAGCCACTTTGCCTGACTGAATGAAAATTCCCTAGCTAGCCCTTACTACTTGTTTTTGACAGGTGAATAGTCACTTATAAGAAACTGAACAACTGTGTGAACCGCTTCAGATCAGAACAGAAGGCTCAAGGAGTTGGACTCGGTGGCCAATATTTGCCTTCCAAAGAGGTCCACCTCTAGCAGAAGTTGCCCTCTTCATAGTTCTGTCATTCACATTCCTTCCTTTGACAAGCATTTATGAGTACTTAACTGTATACCAGTCACTATGTTTAAGAAAAGACAAGACTTGGTCCTTAAGTTCATAGTCTAGTGGGGGATGTTAATCTCAATTAAGTACCCACTCTTATCTGGACCTTGCAGATCATCTAAGAAACAGACAAACCCCAAGGTGTCAGTTAAAAGAAGCCTGTGATGAGAGGTTCAATCTGTCGTGGGCAGAAGATCAAGGATCATAAGATTGAGCCTGAAGAACTATGGAATCTTTCCTGACTGGAGTGAGAAAATCTACTGTCATTTTGGAAACCTGATAGAACCAGATTCCAGGCTGAGCTGCCTTATGGGCTATTATGTCAGCACACTGCAGTTCAGGGATGTATACAATGAGCCTGAACCTAAGAGTTTGTTCTTCAGAGTCCTAAGTAGCACAAGACTTATCAGGATCTATACCAAGATTCTATAGGCAAGCTAACTTGGGCCATTATTCCACCCAACCGAGGAGTCATGTGACTCTTAACAATATATTTTCATTTATGTCCTCAAGATGGTCTAGCTTGTCCCTTTTCTCCCTCCTCCCCCACAAAAGCTTCTATGTTCACCTGGTAGTCCCAGGGATGACAGGGTCCTCTATTCTGGAGACTGTTATTGCTATTGCTGCTAATTCCATGAGCTGTGAAGATCCCCATCCAACTCAGCTGCAAAATATGCAATTCCATAGTGGGAAGAGGCTGTTTGTCCAAGGATGGTGCTGAAATCACTGCCTTAAGGTCTCTGCTGTGCAGAATGAGAAGGCCCCAGAATTGGGTGTTCCAACTTAGAAGGAAGGGGAGACTGGATAGGCCTACTTTGGACATAGGTCTCTTCTGAACCCTAGCCAAAGCTCCAGTGCCATGGCAAGGCTCAGACTTTTGCTGACATCCTCATGCTTGAGCCCTTCACTCTCTTTTCTGGTGCTGCCCAGCCAGTGCCTTCTGAAAATGGATGTTACTGGCTACTTTAAGAAGAAGGGAAGTAGGAAATGCCTTCTTCCATCCCAACTGCCTCCGACTGCAGAGGGGTTGCCTCTGTGGTAACCATGGATACCATCGTGAATTTCATTTGGGTCTGCAGCAAGTTGACTCTGGAGGCCTCTCATACTATAACTTCATTTCTAGTCCTGGGATCCACCACCACCTTCTCTCAGTTGACTGCTGCATTTAGTTCAGGCCTCCGATGGCTGCCCTCCAGGAAGTATGTTCCCATCTAGGGAAGTGCTCTTGAAGCCTCTACTTTCCTTCTGGAGACTGGGACCCTGTTTACAGTTGCACATCTGGGCCCCTCACAGTTGGATCAACCATCTCAAAAAGGAATCATGGTTCTGTGGCAATTTCAGAAGGTTGAGCCTCCTCGTGGTGCTAATAACCCCTTGGGATGCTCATCCAGACTTCTAAGAAGCAAAAAGCCTGAGCATCCACTCACTGCCCAAGAATTCCTGGCAAAGAGCAAACCCACAGCATTCTTTCCAATCTACACACTTGCTTCTTGGTTGAGGCTACTGGGACTCCTCAGAAAGGGAAAAATGGGACCCACAGCTAAATTCTCAATCTCCAGGCACCTTCAGAAGAAGCCAACCTATCTAATTCTGGAATTTGTGCTATCCCCTTTCCCTCTGACCCCCAGTTCCATCCCTCACCAAAGTTGGTTAGTGAAGGACATTTGGAGGGCCTCCGCTCCAGGAGAGAGGTTAACTAGAACCCCGTGAATTTGGGGATGAAGACCAGTAAGTTGTGTTCAATGTGTTCGTTTCTCAGTCCCTACCTAGGCACTAAAATAAAATACTAGGTATTGGAGGCTGTTATGGGACCTGATGTCTGTGTATCTCTCTGTTCTATCTTCTGGGGCTTTGTGGAACATTTTTATTTTTGATATCTGCTTTCTGGTAACTCTTTGGTGCTTATTTCTGTCTCTGTAAATCCTTACTCCGATGTCTTTTGTGTAGTCTAATCACTTGGAAGGTAGAGGCTGGCAGGGAAGAAGAATGAGGAAAAAGACCATGGAAAGACCCTACAAGAAAGCCTTTATTGGTTGGTAAACATTTGGGTCTTGAATTACCAACTTTCTAACTAGTCTGTCCATACTGATGGGCATAAGACAAAATAATGATTTTCTCCCCTTTTCTTTTTTCTTTTTCTTTCTTTTCTTTTTTCTTTTTCTTTCTTTTTTCTTTTTTCTTTTTTTTTTTTTTGTCTTCTGGCTTTTCTAGTTTGCAAGAGTTTAAGTGGACTTAACCTACCCATCTCCTTACTTGTAGCTCTCAAAGATCAGCCACGCTATGCAGAGGGAAAACACCCCCTTCTAGTACTCTGAAGATGAACTCTGTTTCCTGTCATATTCCAGAAAAGTAGGGAAAGAAGTGGTAGGTTTTCACAGCACCACCCATCATCACCCCAGATGGAACCCCGTTCTCAGCACCCAGCATGTGCACGGGTCACACTTGCCTGATCAAATGAAATTGATCTTATAAACCAGGATCCAAAAGACATTCATGATTTTTTTTATGACAAAAGGGTTTGGGAGAGGAGGTTGTGCTAATCACAAATCTAATACAGGATGCAAGTGCTGAAGTAACTCAGATTGTCAGTTCCAGCTCCTTATCACACTTTACCTTTCTTTCTTCCATAGTCCTGGGCATTAGCTAAACTGAAGCTAGTGAATGGACTCCATGAGCAACCCCCCTGGTAAGAAGAAAAATGGCTGTTGTAGCAGGTTGGGTAATAGAGAAGGATAAGATGCCTATAAGTACATTTTTTTCCTTCCAGTATTGAGTATCAAACCCAGGGTGTCTCATATACTCAGCAAGTACTTTATCACTATAGCTCCAACCCTCACTTTTTTTTTTAAAGACAGTTTCCCTAAGTTGCCCATAATGGCCCTGAATTCACTAAGTATTCCAGGCAAGCTTTGAATTTGATGACCCCCCCACACACACACAGTAAGTTCTAGTAACTGAGATTTCAGCTTGCATCATTAGGCCCAGCTATAACACTCTAAGAACTATGCATGAGAGTTTCCAGCACAGAGGCCATAGTAATAAAAATGTGTTCCAAATGGCCAAAGCCTGAAGACACTGCTCTTCATAACTGTATCAGCCTTACCTATCCCCCAGTCCTCGGTTAACCTGCTCAGGGATCACAGGGCCAACAGGTATACACCCTAGCCCTGGAAGCACATACTCTTGTAGAGAAGATAGAGTCAACCCTAAAGCAGCAGTCGGGAAGGAAAGAAAACAGTTGAACTTTGGAAACCACAGGGAAAGGGACAGTTAAAAATTACACCCTGTGTATACTAGTTCATTCCTGTGTGATGTTTCAGCCATCTTCCTTAGTGATTATGTCACAGGGAACATTCTCTGACCTGTGACATGAATCCCTGGTTCCTTGACTCAACCTTTTGTTCCTCAAAGTGGTGGTGCTCGGGAGGATGTCTTCTCATGCTTAGGTTTCCAGGAGTTAACAGTGAAAATATGTGCTTTGGGGTGGAAGTTAGGGAAGTCTATACCTTTGCAGCCTCTAGTGCGAAACCCCTTGCCTCTAACATTGCTAGCTGGCACACTGGGACTCCAGTGAAGAGATTGTGTTGGAGGTCTCCTCCACATTGCTGGTCCGTTGGATTCTTTTTCTGATAATAGTACAAGAAAAGTAAAATAAAATCTAATTTACATTTCTATGATAAAATGTTCTCCCAGCAACATCCCTCTCCCTTCTTTAAATAGTAAAGAGTACAGCTGAGTCTGAGAGCCCCCACCAGCCCCTCCTTCCCCAAGGCAGCCAACAGCTGTAGTGCTCCAGTATGCCAGAAGGGCCCATGTCTCTGCTCAGCCCACAGGAGAGAGCTCCACACAGTGAGAATAAAGTATCTGAGACCTTAGGTTCAACCTCTGCCTTTTCCCACAACAGGACCTAAATGCAGGACTACTCAGAAAAAAAAATTGTTTTCAGAAAGAGCTTCATACATTTCCAAACCCATAAACTAGCTGTTATGGCCCTGGACGAGTTGAGGCTGTTCAGAAGTGGTTTTGTGTCAGTTTCCCCACTACGAGAGCCTTTTTGTGCAGAGCATTAAAAAATCACTGGTACCAAGTCTCCTGCGCTCAGGGACTAACTTGGAAGGAAAGAGTAAAGCCCAAGGAAAGCAAGTGTAGAACAATTGCACTAGAATCACCCCCTAGCCATCCAGCCAGCTCTTGCCATGTCATCCTGCTTCCCTGCCATTTCTCTGAGAGGGAAACTACAAGGAGCAAACTCCCACACTACAGCCAGTTTCTGAGACTGCTGTGCTCCCCCACCCCCACTTCCTAATGTTCTTTTGTTTATTGCTTTTAACAAAACAAAATTATAGTGAATTCTAGGTCTTGCTAGCTTCCTTTCCTCCCCCTCCCTATCCTGTTTTACACAGCACTGCTGTGTAAGAGGCTGTGTTTCTCAAATGCATGGCATTCCTCAGGTGGCAGCAGCGGGTGGGCAAGAATGTTCCTTTTTCAAAACTTACTGAGTACAAAAATCCCAAAACAGGATATGTGTGTGTCTGTGTGTTTGTCTTATTTTCTTCTCATTAGACCCTCACCTATTCCAGTCTGTCCCCTTTTATACATAATGTAGAAAAGGCAAAACTGATTCTGGAAAGCAAATTGTTGTATATAGTTGCGGTAACAATCATGAAGAGAGCTGGGCTGTCCCCTCAGTAATTCATTTTAAATAAGAAATTGGTTGAAAATTAAATCCATGCCTTTGGCCCACTGAAATGGCCTTCCTCCATCGCCACAGAGGCTACCTTTATCTGGGTCCTCTGTCTATCAGGCATGTCTCCATCCAGCAAAATTCATCTGTTCTCTGCCATTTGCGTTTCAATAAAGTTATCTCCTGTATTGTCCACTGGTTTTCTAGCTCACTCTCGGCCTGGTTTCTGTGTCCATTTATCTTATGGCTTGATCTGGAATGTCAGACAACTTGTGGTCATTTGCCTAACTCAGAAGCAAAACCCACCTGCTTGTAAACATCTGACCCCAAATGCTGAGCAGGGGTCCCTTCTGTCTTGTGGGCAGAGGAGAACCCTACCATGTACATTGTGGACACAGCTCTTGTCATACCTTGCTTCCAGTTGCTATGACAAACACAATGATCAAAAGCAACTCGGGGAGGAAAGGGCTTATTTCATCTTACAGGATATAGTTCATTATCAAAGGAAGTCAAGGGAGGAGCTCAGGGAAGAAGCTTGAAGCAGAGCCCCCCAGCAATGCTGCTTACTGGATTGCTCTGCTTGGTCTCAAGTAGCCTAGGCCCATCTAGGGATGGCACTAACCACAGTGGACTAGGTCCAACTATGGCAATTAGCAATTAGGAAATGGTTCGCAGACTTGGTCCCAGGCCCATCTGATTCAGTTGAGGTTCTCTCTCCAGGTGACTCTAGCATTGTATCGAGTTGACAGCTGAAGCCAGCTATGACAGTTTCCTTCACCAGAAGTCAAGGCTTCCGGTTTGCCAGGCAGGAAGTCTCTTGAGTTCTCTTTCAGTCAACTGCAAAGTTTGAAAATGCACCACCCTCTAGAAGAGAGGTTCTCAACCTGTGGGTGGTGACCCCTACGGGGCCAAATGACCCTTTCCCAGGGGTTGCATGTCAGATATTTATGTTACAATTCATAACAGTAGCAAAATTAGTTATGAAGTAGCCACTAAAAGAGTTTTATGGTTAGAGTCACCATAACATGAGGAACTATTAGGGTTGCAGCATTAGCAAGGTTGAGAACCAATACTCTAGATACTGCCTCATTTTTCTTTTGGGAGCTAAAATGAACTTGGCTAAGAGGGCAGCTGTTGTAATGGAGTTTGGGTTCTCCTGGCCACTGTAGGACAGAAAATAAACCTTACTGTTCTCTACTATGGAATGCAGTGAGTCAAAAGGCACTTGCTTTCCCATAAATACTTGCTCTGTGCTCCAACAACATAGGCCACCCATCCCTTTTGTCACTTGGCGTTTGCCACTCTGTCCTGAATTTTTAACCCCTTGAGTAGTGTCTCTGTGTTGTGGCCATTTCCTGTGACTAGTCCTGGTTAGCCATATTAAACTACTCTCCTTCCCCTGTCCCGCCACCCATAACTCCCCTGGGTCTCAGGGAGCATGTTGGGTTAGCTAGATGGCTCAGGAGGTAAAGTACTTGCCACAACACCCGATAACATGAGTTCACTCTTACAGAAAGGGGGCTCATGACAGACTCCACACTAAATTGTCCTTTGACCTCTACAGGTGTCCCATGGTACAGGCCCGTGTATTCGAGTGCAGCACACGCACATACACACATACACACACACACCAAAAAAAAACCTGACAATTAAAAAAATTATTATTATTTTGGGGGGTGGTTCGAGACAGGGTTTCTCTGTGACTTTGGAGGCTGACCTGGAACTAGCTTTTGTAGACCAGGCTGGTCTCGAACTCACAGAGATCTGCCTGCCTCATCTTTTTTCTTTCTTTTTTTTTTTTGAGAATTTTTTTAAATTAAGTAATGGAACACACTTGCCAGATTCCTCTCAGTAATCACACAAAGAATCCGAATGGAGCCATGGGTGATGGCATGTACCTGTAATAGCACTGGGGGAGGTAGAAGCAAGAAGACTGAGATCAGAGTTCAAGCCCAGTACCAGCTAATTACGAAGTTTGAGCCAGTCTGAGCCACAATTGACCCTGTCTCAAAACACATTAACAACAAATAGACAAATAAAATTTTGGTTTTGTTTTTTGAGACAGGGCTTCTCTGTGTGGCCCTGGCTGTCCTGGAACTTGCTGTGTAGACCAGGTTGGCCTCGAACTCACAGAGATCCACCTGACCTCTGCCTCCCAAGTGCTGGGATTAAAGGTGTGTGCCACCACTGCCCAGCTAAAAAAGACTTTTTTTTATAATCAGTCTGAAGAAATGCTCCTTCACATTTAGGTTTTCGTCTCCTGGACAGCCCCTTTTTCATTTGAGATTGGGCTCAGGTAAAACTGAAAAAGTAGGGAACTAGACCTTTTTTTTTTTCTTTTTGAGAGACAGGGTTTCTCTATATTGTTTTGGAAGCTGTCCTGGAACTCGCTCTATAGACCAGGCTGGCCTTGAACTCACAGAGATCCACCTGCCTCTGCCTCCCGAGTGCTGGGATTAAAGGTGTGCGCCACCAACATCCAGCGAAACTATACCTTTGCAAAGTGACTATCCCCGACTGTTTCTCAGCCCGTTCCCCTCCACTCCACCGCCTTCCCCGCAGGCATCTTTAGATCTCTAAAGCTAGAATATGAACGGACCCAATTTAACCAAGGTTGTTTTTAGTTGGGAGGAGGGGAATTAGTTTAAAATAGATAGTATTTCCTTAAAGCCCTCTCTATCCATTTCCATCCTATCTTCCTAACATGTCTTATATTACGGCCTTTATTCCAAGAGCGCTTTCTAACCGCGCGTACGACTTTCGGGACTCCAAACCGTTATGGGATTCTGAGTGCACACGAATACAACAGCGTTCCAGGCCCGCAAAAGCGCGGCTCGGTTCCGGAGGCAGAAGGCGCTGTCTCCGGAGGCTGCACTCTCTCCCCGCCCCCCAGCCCGCTCCCGCGTACTTAGATGCGCAGGCGCGGCTTCGCGGATTGGCCGTACGCGGGAGCCGTCATTTGGTGGCGGGTCCCGGCCGCGGGGCTGGCGGGCTGAGGGGAGAAAAGATGGCGGCAGCGGCGGCAGCTGGTGCGGCTTCTGGGCTGCCGGGTCCAGTGGCACAAGGATTGAAGGAGGCGTTGGTGGATACCCTCACCGGGATCCTGTCCCCCGTGCAGGAGGTGCGGGCGGCTGCAGAGGAACAGATTAAGGTGCTGGAGGTGACAGAGGGTGAGTGAGGCAGGACCGTCACGAGGATGGCGCGTACCTGGGCCGGCCGCACACTCCGCTGACCGCAGGGGTCTGGGGAGCGTGAGCCAGGGCAGAGGTGGGCGCGAGGACTGGGTTAGGAAACGTGGGTGGGGTGCCACTGGTGGCTGTGAAAGTTCTAGAAGAAGGGTGGCGCGTCTGCAAGGAGAGGGTCGCGGAAGGTGGAGCCTTAGCGGGGATGGGGTGGGTGAAGACTTGAAAAGATAGATAGTGCCGAGGTTCTGCAGGGGACACAAATGGAGTTCGACGTTGCCGCTGTCGGGGTCGCGCTGTCTGGGTGATTCTTGAGCTCAAGACAAGGTCTTTTGCCGTTTCCTTCAGCAGTCGGTTGTAGTGGGATCAGGGAAGAGAGGTAAGGCCTTTGAGAAGGCGGCTACCATCAAACAAGTTTGTACATCAGAGTTTTAAATCTGGCTGGTTCAGACACCTCAAGTTTTCCTAGAAATTAGCTCATTTAGATGCATCCACTACTTCGCTTTCCCGACCATGCTTCCCGTTTCTTTTTCTTTTTTAAGACTCATTGGCAATTATTAAATACTGTGCATTTCTGTGTCCAGGAACGATCTTCCCTTTGTTTTAGATTCTTTGTTCTCATCCTCCCATTATGTTCTTTTAAATGATAGAGAAGAAACTATTAGTTTAAGGTTTCCTTTTAATTTCCTGCCTAGTGAGCTTTCATCAGGACCATTTACAAAGAACAGAAAAAGGGTAAAATCTCCTTGATCTTTATGTAAGAAATGTTTCTTATCAGAATTTCCGTGGGACCCCAGACCCCCAGAATCCCCAAGCTCAAGAGAATATTTTCACTGCTCCTTAAACTTAGGCCACCCTTATAGCCTTGAGTTAATGCTCCTGCAGGACTGATTTTTATTGGAAAGAAATAGATGTGTGTATGTGGGGGTTGTCCATTAAATTTAGTTTTATATGCTCTTGTAGTATGAACAACTGTCAAGGGAAGTTTCCTTCTGTTGGGACTACTGGGAGACCTAACAGGTTGCTGACTATTTGGAGAGGCCAGTTGTAGTTTATAACACACCAGACTCTCTTTAAAAGAAGGAACTGGGTGGGAGAAAGCTGTTAGGAAGCAAAGCCTGACTTGACCTGAAGGAGTCCCTAACTTTGTAGGTAAGATTGCTTGACGTTACATCCCATGTCCCTGCCTTCCTTAAGTGTAAAGAACGCTGATAGGCAGAGCCCTTACTAAAGTTAACATGCTGCTTGCATTTAGTTGCTGGTCTGATGCAGACCCATCCTTCATTAAATCTTCCTTGAATGATACCCATTGTTGGGGCTACGTCCAAATGTGTGTCTGACACACATACATTTTAAGCGTAAGGTGGGCTTACACTTAAACTGTACAATAGCACTATTCTTGCTCTGATTTCTTCATCTCCTTATCTAGGCAAAGCCAGTTATAAACTTTTGTTGAAACTATTTTGGAGTTTTTGTCTCCTACTTTTGTCGTCTTGAGGAGTCTTGAAATCAGAAGTACAGATTTTGATCTAGTGCCCTACAACCTACTGGTAATGTGCTGTGTGTGACGTGATGAGAGAGGCCGGGGAAAGCTTTGATACAGTAAGAGGAGCGGTGGTAAGGCATGTGGCTCAAGTGTAGAATGTAGTTAGTATTGAATATACTATGTCGGACTTTTCAGTGGCTTTAAAATACTCTTGTCCCCTTATGTTCCTGTTTTTAGTTAGAGGGTGCTGGTTCCTTAAGCATCTTTTTGTGAGTGCCTTTAACAGTCATCTTCCCACTCGGTCCAGAGAATCTCCAGTCTTTCATTCTGGCTGATTCTCATAGATACCTTTTAATGGTAGTGGGCAGCTTCTTCTTTAGCCATGACCCTTTACATGAAGGTAGCGCCTGGTCCCCAGGAGTAATCACACGCTACTTTTAGATTGTCAGGACATTGTTGCTGTGATTAAAAGGTCCTGCCCACCAGAGTGAGGGAGGGGCCTTTCTTACAAATGAGTGAATAAGT